GACAATTCTCCCACTAGGATTATGGACAGGCTTGGGGGACACGACACCATGCCTAGGGTCAGGGACGATCTAGTTATGGAACTTTTGGAGGGGCTGGATGTGTATAAATCAGCAGGTCCAGGTAGTTTTCATCCAAGGGTACTGAGGGAATTGGCGGAGGTCATAGCAGGGCCTCTAGCACAGCTGTACGAGTGCTTGTGGTGCTCTGGCCAGGTCCCAGAGGACTTGGAAAGGGCCAGTGCGGTCCCCACTTAGAAGAAGGGAAGAAAGGAGGACTGGGTAACTATAGGCCAGTTAGTCTCACCTCGGTCCTTGGGAAGACCTTTGAGAAAATTATCAAGGAGCCCATCTCTGGTGGTCCAGCATGGGAGGTAATGCTCAGGGGCAGTCAACATGGATTTATTGTGGGCAGATCCTGCCTAATTAACCTTGGTGACCTGGTCGTAAAAGGAAACAAGTTCTTGCATGTGGGCGTTGTGGTGGATGTCATCTACCTGGACTTCAAGAAGGCCTTTGACACTGTTTCTCACCCTATTCTCATAAAAACAAAAAACAAAAAAAACTAGGCGCTTGTGTCATTGATGCCTACACATTTAGATAGGTGGCAAATTGCCTCAATGGTCACACCCAGAGAGTGATGGTGGATGGATAATTTTCCATCTGGAGAGATGTGGGTAGTGGAGTTCCCTGAGGCTCGGTCCTCAGGCCTGTGCTATTCAACGTCTTTATCAGTGACTTGGAGGTCGGCGTGGAAAGCACGCTACCCAAATTTGCTGATGACACCAAAGATGTGGGGAGAAGTGGGAACACTGGAGGGGAGGGACAAAATCCAACTAGATCTAGACAGGTTACAGAGGTGGGTGGATGTGAATAGAAAGGAATTCAATGCAGACAAGTGCAAGGTGCTGCATCTAGGGAGAAGGAACTTGCAACATGCCTATAGGCTGGGGAACACCCATCTCAACAACACAGTGATTGAAAGGGATCTTGGAGTCATTGTTGACTCCAGGATGGACATCAGCTGCCAATGTGAGAGAAATGGTCAGTAAGGCTAACCGCACCTTGTTGTGCATCTACATATGCAACACAAGCAGGTCCAGGGAGATGATCCTTCCTCTCTATGCAGCACTGGTTAGGCTGTAGTTGGAGTACTGCATCCCGTTCTGGGTGCCACACTTCAGGAGGGATGTGGCCAACCTTGAGGGGTCCAGAGGAGGGCCACTCGCATGGTCAGGGGGCAGCAGGACAGGCCCTATGAAGATAGACTAAAGGGCCTGAATCTATTCAGCCTCCACAAGAGAAGACTGAGAGGGGATCTGGTGGCCATCTATAAACTCACCAGGGGGACCAGCGGAAAATAGGTGAGGCTCTGTTCCCCCGGGCATCACCTGGAATAACAAGGAATAATGGCCACACACAGACTGAGAGCAGGTTCAGGCTTGATATCAGGAGATTTACAGTTAGGGCTGCCAGGCTCTGGAATGAGCTCCCAAGGGAGGTGGTGCTCTCCCCTACCTTGGGGATCTTGAAGAGGAGGTTAGATAGATATCTGGCTGGGGTATTATGATCCCAGCACTCATTCCTGCCCAGGGCAGGGGGTCAGACTTGATGATCTGTTCAGGTCCCTTCTGACCCTAGAGACTATGAAACTATCAGTCATCAGAGCAAAGATTGTAAAATTTCATTCTGCATTTTTGATCTTATGGCTTGCTTTGGGTGCTGATCTTCATAAAGTTCAGGAAATTGTTGAGAGTTCAAATGATTGTGGCTTATATGACCATTGCCCACTGAATTTCTGTATGCATGCAATTCTGTTTGAAATAAACCTGGCTGATGTTAAATATGTATAGTGAGTGCCAATAACCTTGTCTCTTTAAATCCGTAGAGAGAAAGTTTCCACACAACAGCCTAAAAAGGTGCATAAGCAGAATATACAAAATCCATGAAAAATATTGGCTGAAAAACAAAAATGTTGTACATAGGGGCTCGTGTAGCCATGCCCTCTATGACACTGTTGTTACTGTGCTGTCATTTAGTACTTTCTTTTAGAAGTACTAAATGATGGTGCTGGAACAGCCTGTACTGCACAGTACTGGCAGCACACACTATAGCAACACACTATAGCAAGGAAGCACATTGCTACAGTGACATCACTGCAGCATCATGGTTTGTGCCCACCAATGCTACATCACTGTAGCATGTTGGTACAGCAATGTAGCATCACGTGTAGCTGTGGCCAGAGGAATCATGACCACCTCAAATTCTGTTTTCCGCTTATATTCTTGATGCTTTGATTACATTTGTGGGGATGGGAGGGCATAAATAAGAGAAGAACATATGCCTATTGCTTTTATTTTCCAAGACTCGTATTTTAACAATTCTAAGTATGGCATGACTAAAATATCACAGAATACCTCACCACGCTCTCTCAGAATCGCAATGGACAAAAAAAAATGTAGTAAAAATACTTAATATTTTATTTTTATAACAATTACCTGTGAAATAGTTACAAAAAATATGTTCTTCAGGATATTATAACAGGAAAAATATTATTTAAAGCACATCAAGCAATTTCCCAGTATCAGACAATACTATATTTCAAATAGTATTGGGCAACCTATACAAACAACAACTATTCCATGGGTATCAGTTATACAACACAATCACATCTGAAAATCAGTGTAGCAGAAGAAGAAAAGGCATCTAAACCAGGTGGTATAGCATGGATAAGAATAGTATCAATATTGAATGATGCTAACATAAGCTGTTATGCCTCCATCCTCCTGTAGCTATACAAACATAGTAAAAACTTTGCAACCCTCATCCTGTTTTATTTAGAGTTAGAGTGATATAGTTAACTTGTATCACTAAAGGATCATGCTGATATGACAATCGCATAGTAACAGCTGATTCATGTGCTTGAATATTAGCTCCTTTTTTACTTTTAAAGCAATTAAAATTACATTTGGTTCATAGCCTAAGTGGGAAGCTAACACTCTCTTAATTAAAGACATCCAGAATACTACTGCCAGTAGCATTGATAGAATTAAGTAGTTTATATAATTAAGTAGATAGAGATGGGCTCAAGCTTCAGCAGG